TGCGAATAATTGTGCACATGGTTCTATCACGTCGTACTTGTGGAAATCACCTTCTGCATAGCAGAACCCAAGCTAACATATTATCGGGCCATAGTGGCATGAGTTAAATGAGAAGAGGAGAAATAGCTTTAACCTGAAATATCTTAGGTGTCCGTTCCGTAGTGAGGAAGATGAAAATATTACCCGAATGTATGAGTCATTATCAAAATATTTAAAAGTAAAAAAATAAAAAAATGATAGATAAACACATAACAAAGAGCAGAATCACGGGTGATCTTATCCGCAACGCAACCATGTAAACTTAATGTATCGCACACTGTCATTTGTGCGTTCAAGTAACCACAGATTTTGTCAATTCATAATGTATTTTTAATTAAATAACTAGATTATGTAGTTAATTCTGCTCTGTTTTTAATTTTTATTCGCCACGTCCGACTGCGTTACACTGTATGTCCATTGCACGCTGGGATGATATCTCAAGTAATAGTGAGTTTATCCACATCGTTGATTGTTTCCAGAAAGACTGTCGGTGCATGATTTTACTGAAAAAAAGTTTGTTGTACTGTAAACTATGTTTCTTTGAACAACTGACTGTTGTCTTCAGTATGAAAGCAGTATATATGTATCCTTCTTTTTTTCTTAGGTAAGTTCAACTGGCCTATATTTCGTGTTTTGGTTTTATCGGCTGAAAAATGTCCATTTAACTACTTTGAGCAACATGTCTTTGCAAGTGAAACAATAACTATGACACTTGCTTAGTTTAGTGTTCTTGGTTGTCGTATAATTCAGTTTAGTTGAAAGAATTATGATATAATTAAGTATAGTGCTTGAAGCCTGTAACGAAACAGATCAGTTTAGTAAGTAGAGTTGCCTGTTTCCAATGTGTATACGGATTCAGATCAGTCTGATTAAAAATAGGAAAAACGTTCCTTTGATGCTGTTGCTGTCATACATTATAAGACAGCTATAAGTATGTTTGGTGTTTATTTCGAAACTGTACATCTATCACTGGCCATATTTCAAGATCACTGTCATTAAACAATTTCCCAGCAATAACATCGATAGCAAGATAGCTAAGTGTCTGAGCTTTTAGTTGCCCGCAAAACAGCAGTTTACAGTCTTAGAAGATGAGTGTTCTGTGCCTCAATTAAGTGCAGTTGGCTGTGGACAAATGTTAAGAATCTTTTTGACAACTGGGACTTTTAGTTTATCAGATACTTAGTCTGCTTGTATGTCTTCCTGTTAAAATAGATGCAGATGCATGGGAATACTTAAATGGGAGCAAAATAATAACAGCATTGCAATACGGTACTAAGCCCATGTTATGCTTTGCGCAAGTAATAGTAGCTGACCTTATCTAATATTCATGAACTCAAGGTAAATCACAACTGCATAAATTCTTTGCTAAAAAACATGTGATTTGGTTATTTATCTATTCCACATTTCTGACTAAATTCATCACTATTTTTTTCATTTAGAATGCAACAGGAGTGAGCCTTCACAGACCCTAAAAACTGTTTCGCCCTTGGAACTAATGCCCTATGGAACTGTTTACGGGCGACCCAACAAACAGCAGATTATAAAAAGGATGCTGGACGCCCATTTTAGTCTCACAACCGCTTCCAGTATTTTTTGACTTCTTTTACTCTTTCGTTTGGAAAAAAACAACAAAAACTGCAGCTTAACATTACCAATACAACTTGTAAACGGGAACTTGGTTTAAACCTTTGTTTGATATTCGATTCTTAATGAAAGTTCTTGAATAATTTTTTGAATCTAATGCTATTTTGTTTTATCTACTTAATCGTTGCAAGAAACTTGTGATAAGCGAGCCTCTCAGCACCTAGTTCATGTGTTCAAATGGTTGTGGACTGAATAGAAGCTTTCGCTTAACAGGCTTCCGTGTCTAGTAGCAGGGGATCACCGAAACCTCAAGGCAGGAAACTAGGTATGTTAACAATAAAAGAGGAAAAAGAAATTGGTAAATCATAGTATGATACTATTTTTAGTCCTTAAGAATAGATCCAGTCGCCTCTTAAAGGACTCCTGGAAAGTCGCTTGGACTAGCTCGGCCGGCAGCGCATTCCAGCATTTGACAACTCTTAAGGAGTAGAAGTTGTGCCTACAGTTCGTTCTGCTATGTTGTGTCTCTAGTTTTTGGGTGTTACCCCTTAGGTTAGTGTTGGAACTAAGCTTAATTAGGTGTTTTAGGGGAAGTCCAGAAGTGTTAAGGTTATTGTAAGCCATTAGGTCACCTCTAAGATGTCTATACTCTAATGAGTAGAGGTTAAGTCATTGGAGGCGCTCTCCATAAGGTGATTTGGTGCATATCTTCGTCATTTTCTTGGGAGACCTACAGACTCGGGTCCTCTCATAGCTTATTCTAACCACCATGGGTTGTCACGGCAGCTGGTGGATGGACACGCGTTACACATCCTAACCTTACCTGCTTCTTACCTTATAGCTTCTAATTCAAATGACAAGCAAGCAATGCCCCTACCCGCACTAATGGAACACTAGTAACTCAAATGCACACCGTACGGTACCTTACACTGGTTTACGCACTCACTTAGCTCTTTAGTGAGAATAATTATACGGTCCTGCTGAAAACCCCATGAACCCCCCTATCTCCATCAAAACAAATAAGTCTGTATTCGCAGCATATAGCAATTTTATTATTCAAAAGTAAGATATAACAGTTAGAATTGGAGTAAAATGGCAGTATACAGCAGATGCACGTGGTGCATGTCTTCATCGATTAACTGAAAAAGAGAATACGGATATCAGCTTAACAGGATTATTTAGAAAAACTAGTGTCTAATTTGAACTTACTGCGTGAGATAGTTATACTGGAACTACGAATGTTGTAGAAATAGAGTTTCTCGGGGCGTACGAAGCACTCGGACTGTAAGACAGTTGTGCAAAAATAATTCAAATATGAAGGTGAAAATTTGCAGGTACTTTTCATCGTAAGGGTGAACATATTAGGTATCAGTTGACATCATACCGTAAGAAAACACAAATTTGCGAGTGGTGAAATATGATCTATAAAAAAGTGAGCTTAATAACAGTTATTCACCTTTTTACTCCCTGATCATGACCCTTCGGCTTCCTTTTATGGCCAAAACAGCAAACATACACTAGACACTGGTAGCAGATTTCCGGCTTTTCAATGTTAAGCTTGCTTTAATGCACTGAGTAATGAGTACAACCCCTCTATTAGTGCTATATGGCATATTTTTCATAACAAACCCTCTGCAATAGATTGGTAGCATCTGTGACTTCATCTCTAGTTGTCGGAATTCTGGGTCCTTTCGAAGTCCGTACCGATATACCCTACTGCTGGGCACTCTGTATTAGTTTGACTGGTTGGTGGGATAGTGTTTTCCATAATACTGAAAATTAAAAACCGCAGATTGTTTCCTTTCATTTTGCCGATAACATTATAAAGGACAGTTAGGAACGAACATGCGAACAGTTAGTCATAGGCTTCAGCAACAATTATTTTAGTTAAATGAAAACGAACTTCGGCTTCGGATATCTAGAAAACAAGATAAAACATAACCGATTGTCGTTTAAAAACGTAAGGTCTTATGTTAGTACTAGCCAGCTTAGCTGAATAAATACAGTGACTTTATTAGCAGCAGGTAAAACCCAGAAAACAAAGCAAAATCAGGAAACATTTTGCTCCAACGTTCAGAGTATTACACTAAGTTCTGGATTTTAGCACACTGAAACATCAAATTCTGTAGCTACACAAAAGAAATAGCGGAAAAAAACACAGAACGAAGAAAGCCGGCCGACATTTTATAACAAAAGACTAGCCAGATTGCCCGAAGAAATACACTGACTTGAGTAGAAGCAGCAAAAACCCAGAAAACATCGCTGATTCGAAATAAACTTCACACTAACATATAGAACATTACACTAACTGCGGCGTTTTAGTACACTGAGACATTAAATTACATAGCTACACAAAAGAAATAGCTGAAAGAAGCACAGAACGAAGAAAGCCGACGCCATTGCTTACGAAGATGGCGGATGTAATAATTCTCGCCTCATTCTGATTGGTTGCTAAGCTGAAGGGCACATTTACGAAATTAAGTTGCGTTTAATTGCAGCCCAGAATCACAGTATAGTGTTTGATGTATCAGATCACGTCGGGCACGTTACCAAAGATGCCACAAGTATTTGGGGTTCAATAACACCTTTATAATCTAAGCATACCAACCAAGTCAAATCAGAAGTGAGAAATGAGGAAGGTGGGAGGTATATTTGGAAGCTATTAATATGTTGAGAAGCGTTTGGTCTGAGCTGGCTGTTAGTTGCAGAGGATATGTAGCACGGCGTACCTACCTGTAATTTGATGCGCCTTCAGCTAGTATGTGTCTTGTGAAACTAATGGGGCCAACGTCAATGTAGAAGACTCATGGGGCTATTTATTTTGGAGATCTATTTGCCGCTATAATCATAATGTGTTGAGGTGCGTGCAAACAGATAGCATGTGGCTAAAGAAGAGGCCAAAAATTAAACACAGTTTATTCGGTGCCGCGCAGTGACCATAGGGAGAATTACTGGGATTAGTGACAATGGTTCAAAGTAAGGTTTTGTAGGTCACGAATTTCTTGAAAAAAAATGAGTACGGTGGGATTGTCAAGTACATTCTGGACTGTATTTGAACACTGGATGTTTCTTCAAACTGTCTGTTTGTATGGTTATCCGGGTCTTTTTCTGCGTTAACTCATGTTCTTATCTCTTCAGGTCAGCTTCTAGCCGTGATTGTTCTTGTTACAAATGAACCTTTTACCGATTGATAGGTTTGCAAAATCGATGTGTATCGAAAGACTTAATTTAACAAATCGAAATTCGATTTCAGCCTTCATGAAAGTGATGTACCTCTCTGACCTGGTGTTTAATGTATATTAAAATTATCATTTATTTTTGTTCCAGGCTAATTTCATAACAATTGACCTTGAAGTTATTGTAGACACATTTTTGAAATGCAGAAGTGGTTTCTGTCTGGTAAATAAATATAAGTTTTATATCGGCATTCAGAATATGTAGAACCGCTTGAAGGGCTTCACAGACTTTTGGAAGTTGACAGGGTCACTGTGAAGCAAATAAAAAAGAACCAAAGTAAGTTTTATTAGTAGTTTATATTCAACAAAACAAAGCACAGATTCTTAAATGAACATACAGTGTAGCAAAAGAGTCGTTTAATGCGAAATAAGTATATTTAAATAAATGTGTTACTCTTTCGGCAACTCTTCACTCTGGCCTAAGTTTTCATATCAGTGTTTATCGAGTTATTTTTAACTACTTCATATTAAGTGTAATTGAATTGAATTGCTATTGTCTTTACAGTACAAATTTTCTCTCAAAGTTCTGTGAAGTATCTGATGAGGACGTTTATTTTAGTTGTTTCCTTCAGAAGTTAGTTGGTATTTTATTTAGTGATATAAAGTTCACTCTTTTTCTAATAAAGTACAGATGTAATTGTGATGAAAGGTCTTTACAACTTATTACATTTCGTAATCACAAAGCATTTGTTTGCTACTGGAATTTCAAATAAGGAAGTTATGTGAAATAAGGTGAAAAGATTCGAATTCATAGCATGTTTTGTTCTGTAATACGTTGCAAATATTTCCGATTTTATTAAGATGTACTTAAATTCATAATTCAAAATTTTTTTTAGTTTAAAAACACTATCAGCTGCCACGTTTTTTGAAACTGAAAAATCGAGGGTTCAATGATCTGAACCTTACTTTATCTCTTTAGAATAACAATTCATAATATTGTTGAGTCTGCACTGCCACTGTAAATTGATTATGTTACAGACAATTATCAATGGTATGAATATGTACAGGTCTGTTGAATCCCATAGGAAGCTTTTCAGACTTCGTTCACGGCTTACTGTGTTTCGGACAAACTATCTACTATTTCAACCAGCGTTAGTGTATTTTTAAACTGGTCGAGTTTCTAAATAAGAACTTTCGTCTAAATTTGAACGAATAGTTTCACAATATTTGGGCGCCGAGTTAGTTTGAGACATTAAAAAGAAGAATATATTTGTAAAATCTCAGCGAATGAATTTTAAGTAAATCCAACCTTTCGCCTGGCAATCTGGTCCAAGCTTTTTCAAGGAAAATATAATCAAACAACAAAATTATCGAATATAAATAGGTACATGGTTCTTCGGTTTTACTGTATACTGAATAAGTCATCCAATCAACGTGAAGGATTTCTTTATAAATAGGTATTTGTATTAATGTGGTCGAGTTTCCTATGTTGTTTTTGCCAAAAACGTTTAGTGGAAGATTCAATTAGTTCATATGAATTTCACCCCATAAGTATGAATAAGCCCTAAATAAACTAAATTCGCACCATAAATTTTACATGTTTGTCAATTTAAAGAACTTGATACTTAGGAGCATTGGGCTTTTGTTAGCACCCTATTTTTTGATCATTAAATGTGACAGATACAAGTTATATTTATTTGTTCGAAAGCTGGGTGTGTAAAATTAAATTTGGCCTATTTAGTGATGAAAAATGCCGTTATATTTATCATGTGTAACTAAGAACTGAATTGTGTTTGATGATCCTTTAATATTTTACTGAACCTTTATTGTCAAAATTTAAACTTTGGGGAAGAGCAGGGTCAGTCCAGCGAACAAAAGTTTATTTTCAGCATTTAGAATTACGTAAAGTGCACGATCGTGTTAACGATTAATATGTCTGCTAAAAATATTAGCTTATAACTTCACAGAACGGTTTTGAATAGCTTAACAAAACTGAAGTGTTATCATGCCGTAAATAGTTTCAAAATTCAGACAACAAAGACGAACTAGACGGTGACCTAACAGGTGATAAAAAATGTTAGGGTGAAAATGTTTATCTACTTGATGAATATCAAGAACAAAATAATTAAAACTTGTAACGGTGGCTAAATATTAGTTGCAAAATGTAGGTAATAGGGGAACAAATATGTTTGGAGTAGAGGAAAAGTGATAGATTGTGGAGGACAGGCAACTAGATCAAGACCGCAATTAAATCAGAAAGCAAAAATACTGGTTTTGGAAACAAAGGTCAGGTTTGAATTGGTGGTAAGCTATAAATTCTAACGTACATTCCTTTTTCATTCGTATTTTTTTAAACTTATTTTTATCACTAAACTAACAATTTTGAAGGATGATTCTAGTAAATTGGAGTGCCAAAAATTAACTAGGTTTTCGAGGGTTGAGCTTTTAATAGATTTTTTTAGTCCTTCAGATAGCCAGGGACACTGATATTTGTAGTGCAGACTTTGTACGTCATAGAAAGATATTATCTCCCTGATGTACCACTAATCAATAATCATCAAGGTTGAATAAACAGCAGATGGAAGAACTTGAGATTATTTTTTATCTTGATCAATGCGTTGGCAGCTAAGTGAAACAATATGCGTTCCGTCTTTTATTACTGCTACTAATACCACTAATTTAAATGCACGCTTAGTTTATATTGTTTTAAAAAATAATAAGTATTTTGAATTCACTCTTGCTGAGTTCAAATCAAAGGCTCACGAAATGTATTTATGAGGTGAACGGTGGATAAGATGTTATACATACAAAGTTTTCTTTCCAGCTTTCTTAAAACCTTTTGAATATGGTCTTATAAATGGTCAGTTACAGTGGCTTAAAATAATGTCGGCTAGTAATCATGAGTAAAATTAGTAGTGCTAATTGAATAAAAGGTTCACATCGTATTCATTTGTTAAATTATTATCAATAGTTAAGAAATAATTTATTAAAATGTAGTTTGTTTTGTAGATTTTTTCGTATATTTGAAGCTTCCAGGCAGCACTTTTGTCTTTGGATTGTTAAAAGACACCATATTAGGAGATGTATTTTTCGGATGGATCCCATTATCAAAACAAAATTAAAAGTTAAAACTTCATAAAATAAGAACAATTTTAAGACTTCGATTGATGTAAGCACGTTTGTGCTGTAAGCGAAAGTATACATATGAGCATTACTGACAAATTTCGTGAACGTAGATTACATTTTTGTGTTGCTTTACCGTATAATTCTATAAAATGAGTTTAGTCGCTAAAGGTCTTTAAATATTAAACTGGAAGGTAGTAATCTTTCCCACAACTAAATTGTTTTCTTGGCTTGACTCGAGAAGAGTCTGGAAAATTTATTTTGTTCGCGACTTTACAAGTGAAATATTGTATAATGTTATTGATTGTAAACATATAATGAAAGCGATTTTATAAACAACGCACTAGTTGGTTAAACTCTGTTTATCAGCTAAACATTTATAATATCAAACAGTATTTTAGTTATACAGTGAAAAACTCATAAAAACAACGTTGGTCGTAGTTGGAGACATTTTTATTGTAAGGCTTTGGGAGTTTGTTATCCAATAATTATACAGATTATCTAGTGATTTATACGATGTTATAGTGAGAACACCATATTGTGATTTATATCCTAGGCTAATTGTTAGATAACATTTATGAAAATAAAGAAATTTTATTTGTTTTTTCTAGGTTCAAAGTTACATGATGCAGTAGTTTATGAAGCCCTGCTAGATACTTCTGAACTTCTTTTAAAATTTGTTGAAAAGTCTAGCTTTGCACAAAGATTTTGGTGCGGATCTCACAGAGCATTCGATATGGAAGTGCGAAATGTAAACGGAAAACTTGTTATGCATCTCCAACGGCCATTGAAGTGTTCAGCAGTTGTATGTTTTTGTTGTCCTTATGTAAGTTGATAAATCGTCTGCAAAACAAGTTAGAATACACCTTTTTGTTTTAAAATTTTAAGATACGGTATTTTGTTGCTTAGTAATTCCACGCCCTACTTTTCATAACCTTAATTAAATCATTTTCTATACCCAAACGATTGAATGTAGTTTTATACCATTTCATAAAATAATTTTTCACCTGAGACATAACTAGTGGTCGTAAATGGTTTGAATTATGTATCTAAATAAAAATATGGATTATTATATTAGGTCTGCCAAACATGTTTTTATACTCTTAGAATTTCATGAAGAGTTTGACGTATGGTGGATAAATGAAAATGAGTTCATGGGTAGGTAAAGTTTTAGCTAAACTAAATAGATAGATTGAAATCAATTCTAAAGCCACAAATTGATCTATAGCTCGATTTCACTAGACAACTACAGTAATGCAACTTAAACAGTATGAACCGTTTTGGTAATACTAAAAAGTTAGATAGCTTGTCTGCCTATTAAAGTTATAGTGGAATGATTGATTAGAAATGATCAATCTAAAAGTTACTGAAGATAGAATTTTTTCACCTTAACAAGTTTTCAACTCATTCCAAGGACAAAAATACTTTCATTGGAATATTGGTTAATTTGCCAACATTTTGCAAGAATCTCATTATTGTTATCACGAAGAGATGTTGACATCCACATTACTATAATCAGTGAATATGTAATAGAAGGTTTTACTCAAGAGTGCAAAACGATGTTTCTGTAATTTTCTTTCTCATAGCTGAATTATTTTATTACCAGCTAGGAACTTTGGTGGGGAAAAATTATCCCGTATAAGAGTCAGGTGATCACATGTTATCCAGAATCCACTACTATAGTGAAGTTTATCAGATCATTGGATGATCAAACGTATTTATGACTCAATCACGTATTCAGTCGATATCAGAGTCCCATCCATAAATCAGCTGTTTTCATCAGAAAAAAATCATAATTACCGGAGTTTTGTTAAAACCTTTAATGTTTTGAAACTTATAAACGGTTATAATGGAAAAAACTGGCAGTCTTTTGGTTTTAGTGGTATAACTTACCTACAGATTGGTTACCTAACTTTAAACTGTCTAAAAAATCAACTATGACTAAGGTTTGACAAGCATTTATTCAAATTAATTACTCTTTGTGGATTTTCAGGACTGAATTAAAAAATTACCCCTTAAAAAATCTTCTTGCTGAACAAATTTTTCCATAAAACCTGTATCTACATCAGAGCTAGCACTAAGGCTTATGTTCATCATTTATTTTTGTTTGAAGCAAGACAATCACTAAAATGACTCGGTAGCCTGGAAGTTTACTCTATTTGAAACTACAAACACTAATCTGAGATCTTGTTGTGTCAATCAGCATTAGAATAAAGGAACATTCAGCTGATGAACTTCAAGAAACACTCATGCATTCCATTACTGGTTACAATTTAAAATAGTTTCCTACATTTATATATATATATATTGTTGCGAATATGTCTCAATTCTAGTTGCATATACTTTATCACTGTAGTGAATAAGAACACGAGTGGGGGACAATCGAATGTGCTTAACACAACATTACAGGACTTGTTAATAAAATCTAACAATCGTAAAGTAAATGCTTAATTTGCAAAATGTCCACCAATTGTCTCAAAATGACTCAGACTTCATTGTTCCCGCATTTTAACACAAATTACATCCTGTTTCTATTCTTTACTGTTCGATTCTCTTGTCTCTCTGCTGCCAGACCTTCTGCTGACGACTAACATCATATACTACTTATGTCGATATAAGTAGCACTTACCACACTACTGCTTTCAAAAACTCAAATAATTTAAGCATATGTACTTATTTGCTTATGGTTCTTAGCATATATATATATATATATATATATATATATATATATATATATATATATATATATATATATATATATATATATATATATATATATATATATATATATATTTAAAATCACTTTCTAAGTATATCTGTTGCTATGTATGTTCTTGTTTCTGTTTAATTTTAATGAACATTCACTCATAGTCCAATTTTGTTAATTTTGTTTCGTTTTTTGGTTTTATTTACAGTGTTTATATTTTCTACTGATATCATTCATTTATATATATGTGTTTTAATTAAGGAAATGAAAGTTGAAGCTCCAGTAGGTGAACCAATGGGTAGTATTGTTCAAAATTATGGACGATTCGGTCATACATTTTACCTGAAAGATTGGAATGATAATATAAATTTAGATATAAAAGGTCCTTGGTTTTCTTATACCTGTTGTTTTGATCTTATTTTTAAGGTGAGTATAAGTTCATAAAGATTACTATTACGTGAATAATTAACTTGCAAATACTTGATATAATCATCACATTATCGTAAATTGAACTTATAGTTTTTAGTAAAAACAGACTAATGAAAGTGAAAATCATGCTTTCAGGTTTTAAGTGGGTGTTTAGCTAAGTTCATCACGTAATTTAAGAACTATGAAAATTCTACAACATCCAAAGATCCTTTAATATTAATGACAATCATATGTTCAAGAGTAACTAGTTTCAAGATAAAGCTCTTATAATTGTGCTGAGATGCCATAATGGACGGAGTTGAACCATGTTCAGTATAAGACACTTATCTGCTTCGGACAATAGAAGATGATTGTGCAATATCGCAAATTTTTTGAAGTTAGACATGGACACCATTGGATGCCGTTTCAGTAGTTTAGAGGATAATCATTCACATGCAACACCGAAAATTCTAAATTTGATTTCTGCTTATGGGGTCGTGGACGCTCACTTCTGAGGAATCCCATATCAGTATGAAGCGACTATCCAGTGCTACTTGGTATTCACTGTTGATCTAGTTAGTGAAGTCAATATAAAATATTATAGAAAACCAAAGAATTAAACCGGATACACTTCTTTTACATGGTTCAAAAACTTGTCAAGGTTAGAAAGAGGTTCAGAGGTCTTGAAATAGTAATGCATACGGTACAGGAAATCATCCATATAACTCCATACTAGTAGGCCTCTGGAGCTGTGATAAGGTAGCAAAAACTTTCAGTCTCGACCACATAGCTTCAATATTGTTTGTTTGCACTCCTGTCCTTGTGTCCACAAAATGTTGTTTAAGGATAACGACACGATGCACATAACCAAGTCTATGAAAGCATCTGTGCGCTCTGCAGTCGTGCGCATATAGTGTAATACCCGGCTGAAGCCATTGTTACTGGTGCTTTTATTATCCAGTTCGTAACAATTGTCATGATTTGTCTTATTCTCAATTTGGATTGCCATATACCTTTAAAAAAATATTGTAATCAATGATCTAAGTCATTTTATTTCCTTAAATTTAACTAATTGTCAGTTTATGCTACGTAGAATGAATCTAGAATCGGTATGAAATCACGAAAAAGGCGTAAAACATAATTTTATAATCTATAAGCGTAGATAAACTATAAAATTATATCGTCTATTATCTTCTTAATTTCTGAAAAAAGTGAATGATCAACACCCAACAAGTGTTCTTTACTTTTGATTAAACGGGTTATATACTGATTGTCACTTTACATTTGAATACAATCTGTCCGACATGATCTACAATGATTGTATAAATGTATTGAACTCAGGTAAATAAAATACATTATTAGATTCAATAAAAAACTGAATCACAACTTCATTAATAACTAACAGAACACAATATTCATAAGTAGTTTCACAGTGCTTTAAATGAAAAATTTGTTCAGACATTTTTGAAACCTCTGAAAATTGATAACTTCATTCATAAATTGAAATACGTTGAATATGATAGAAGAAGCGACCATCTACAAGATTATAATTTATGGACGACCATTAAGCGAACCTCAAATGACTTCGAGGAGTATCAGCCAATCAGAAAACTGCATAGAGTAAAAATATACTACATAAAACCAAAGAATTAAAGTGGGTAAACTTCTTTTACGTGGTTCAAAAACTTGTCAAGGTTAGAAAGAGGTTCAGAGGTTTTGAAATAGTAATGCATACGGTACAGGAAATCATCCATATAACTCCATACTAGTAGGCCTCTGGAGCTGTGATAAGGTAGCAAAAACTCTTTCAGCCTCGACCACATAGCTTCAATATTGTTTGTATGCACTCTTGTTGTTGGGTCCACAAAATTTTGCTTGTGGATAACGACACGATGCATATAACCAAGTCTATAAAAGCATCTGTGCGCTCTGCAGTCGTGCGCATATAGTGTAATACCCGGCTGAAGCCATTGTTACTGGTGCTTTTATTATCCAGTTCGTAACAATTGTCATGATTTGTCTTATTCTCAATTTGGATTGAGCGAAAAATTCTATCCTAGCAGACTTCTTCCTTCAACACATATTACATCGAAAGACTACATCATCACGGTAGTCTGCACAAAGTTCACAAGTCATTTGATTACCATAATCACAAATAAAAGGAGTTCTTAGTAGTCCCATTTACTGTAATCGCTCAATTATCACGTTTCCTCTAAAATCCACTGTGAACCGATCGTACGTGAGCATCAGGTACTGAAACTGGTATTGTGACCTTGAAGTCCTCCAAACGTTTGTGATTGGTTCTTCCATAATTTATAGTCTCGTCGAATCTTTTTAAAATGAAGTTTCTCTTGAAATGAGTGTGACCTACGATGAATAAAATATCATACAATTAAACCAAACATTCTCATTTTTGACGGGAATCCGTCACCATAATGAAAAATGATAATGAATTAAAAATAAATAACCGTTTACAAACAATGGTACGTGGTATAATTCACTTGATATTGTTTTACTTGAATCTTCCCATTGATGTTTTTGGACTGAAATTGATCAGTCTCTTATTGGCATATGTGCATACTGTGCGTATGCCTCGATATTGCCTTAATTTACAAGCATTATAAGCAAAGATGGATAGTGGCTAGCAGTGGAATCCAGGACGCGCGTTTCGTCCTATTTGGGACTCGTCAGCTGGATGTACCTGCATCTCTGAGTTGATGTTCACTCTGGGACTCGAACTCAGTACTGTTCGCTTCAAACGCCATCGCGTTATCCACTTAGCTACTGAGTCCTGATAGCCATTTGCTTGTGCAGTGGGTTGAAGTTTAATTCACTTGATATTGTTTTACTTGAATCTTCCCATTGATGTTTTTGGACTGAAATTGATCAGCAAATGGCTATCAGGACTCACTAGCTAAGTGGATAACGCGATGGCGTTTGAAGCGAACAGTACTGAGTTCGAGTCCCAGAGTGAACATCAACTCTGAGATGCAGGTACAACCAGCTGACGAGTCCCGAACAGGACGAAACGCGCGTCCTGGATTCCACTGCTAGCCACTATCCATCTTTGCTTATAATGGTACGTGGTGTTAACCTAATACTTATAATTTGATCGGAATACTTTAGATTTTAGTGGCTCTAAATCTGACTCCATTTGGATCGTTTACGGCTTGTTATTGAAATATTTACATGTCGCCAAACCTCGTACATAATCACCGAATTAACTCGCGTTAGCGAATAATGGTATTAAATAAGTCAACTACGAGAATAAATTTCGAATACATACATTTTGTACAATCGTTGATCCAGACAGAAGATCGGAGAAGCGAAGGAAATAGAGCTAAGCGAAATGACGCGAGGTGGAGAAAGCATGTAAGCCAACTCGATTTGACCAAGAGTGAATCGATATTTATAGTCAGACAAATATAAGTTACAGTCATGCGATGAGTAAGATAAGAAATGCACATACATACTCTTACATAAAAACAATCAAGGTTGACGATCGAATAATTCACAAGGTCAAAATGTGACTCAAGAAGAATGAATGAATTAGCCTGTCCGTAAGCTAGAATAAGCTATGTGGGCTCGCATAGCGCTACAAGATTCACATTCATTTAAAATTGTTTTCCGCACCATGTGAATGGCTAGTTCTTAACGTACTTGTTTTTCTTTATTGAATTACATATCTTAGCACACTAAGTTATTATCGTAAATCAAACTAATTGTAGCTAAAACTGTTAAAATGGTGTCACATTTCGGTATGTAGCTTTGGTGTGTCCTCTTTACGAAGGTGTTTACATACATTATTAAGTGTGTTTTTCATTCAAATGATTTGAAATCCTTTAACTGATATTTATACCGGAACGAATCATATATGTATATATATTTGTAACTGATACCATTATAAGTGACGTTTAAATTGAAATTTCAGCAATCACTAGTTCTCTAAATCTTTCATGTATGCTTTACTGATCAACTTCTGACTTACATGAAATCTAGGTCAAACATGTCTTCTTATTATTCGCATAAAATCGCATAACATCAAGGTGTTGCACGATGTTGATAATGGTAATGGACTAGTGATCAAATGGTTTGACTTTCAACTCATAAATATCAGGTACATATTCTACACCTGATTAGTATCACTAACCATTATACAAACTATGTGACTAAAACTGAAATGTATAAATTTATAGTTTACATATGATGTAATCATATATTACTGATCACATTCTAATATTCTCAATTGAATTTAATCAGCACTGTGTGCTAAACACTAGACTGATACGTTACTAGCTACTAACTTATTAATCAGTGTACATATTTACAACCAGAATGTATATCCTCGGCGAGACTCTATTTATAGACGACCTTTGAACGAATATTAAGTGACCTTGACAATTATTAGCCAACCAGAAGACAGCTGGTATGAAGTAAAAGCATTATAAAAAACTAAAAAATTAAAGTGGATGTTCTTCTTTTACATGATTCAAAAACTTATTAAGGTTTGAAAGAGGTTCAGAGGTTCTAAAATCGTAGTGCATACGGTAGAGGAACTCATCCATATGGCTCCATAATAGTCGACCTCTGGAGCCGTGATAGGGTCTTAAAAACTCCTTTATCTTGAACCACATAGCCTCAATAATATTAGTGTGAACTCTTGTGGTAGGGTCGACAAAATGGTGCTTGTACACAACGACATGATGCACATACCCAAGTCTATGTAGGCATCTATACGTTCTTCAATCATCTGTATATATCGTAGTGCTCGGCTGCGCGTATTCCTGTATAATTGGTATTATTGTGGTTGCTTGCCGGTTTCTGACCCTTTGAAAATATCCCTTTTGCGTTGATCTGTCATAAATTCCAAGTACATGTGAGGTATATTTACGGAGGTGCTACTTATCCAGTCTTCCTTAATATGACGTCCCAAGTTATATTTTCGCTTTCGTACTACTGTTTTATCTATTTTAAAAATACTCCCAACTCCTCCGAACGACCGTGTAAACGTATCATTT